AATTATTTTTCTTAATATATAATTTATGATTAATTAGTAATATCAAAATTATATTAAATAAAAAAGCGTTTGTTCATCTGAATATTTTTTTTCCCTAAAATAGGTAAAGGTTTAGTGTGACGTGTGTGAAAACACGGGTAATGCAATACAGCTACGTTACTGGTTTTATTTTCTTTCTTGTTTCCTTTGCTTTTGTGATGCAAGTGTGAACTCACAACAATGGATAGGCTTCGACCATTGACATATCTTTTAAGATTTAATAATATAATTAATATGAAATAAAAGAAGTGTAAAAAAAATATAATATAAAAATTTATTAAATAAAAAAAGTGAATATAACATGTCCATGAAATATGAAAAAAATCCTGAACACGCATTCATTATTCAACAACAGTTGGCAGAGGGGCAATAATACAGATGCCAAACAATGGAACGAGATAACTTTATGTTTATTTTTTTCTCTTTTCTTGATTGGGAGGAAATCTCCATTTTACTTTTTGTAAAAATGAATGGCTGTCATCCATTTGGTACATGCCTAATAGGCAAACTTTGCTTTCTAGCCTGCCAAGTGTGAGGCACAGAAAACGTTCAGCAAAACGACAAACAAATTTTCCCAAGATAGTGTAATTCCACACCATCTTTGTCATTAAAATTCAAATAACGTCAAATGTGAGATTTCTCTTCTAATTTTATTTTCCTTTTCTGAAGTTTGATTTGCGCCATTTCTAAAAATGCAGAATTTAACTTCAATTGTATAAAATTTATTTTATGTTATTAAATTGATTTGCCCAATTCCAAAGTCTATAATAAAGTTTTGGAAAAATAAATACAAGTCATTATCACTTTTCATTGAAATAAGTTTTTTTCTTTGTCCATATATAGTAAACCATATCTTTTTCTCTCATCTTATTGCTCTTTTGCGTTAGATTCTAGTCAAATTTTAAATTATTAGTCATTAAAATATAAATAGTTATTGTGGATATCTACACATTTGTATTGACTATATTATATTACACTTTGTTTATGCGTGAATGTTACGCAGTAGGACCCAAATCCTTTTAACTTGTAATAGCCCAACCAAACTTAACTTTCTGAAACGACGATTTAAAACTGATCAAAAAGTGAGTTATTTATACGCGGTTCACTTAACAAAATATATTTAAGTTTAAAGATAAATATAAAAATGTAATAATTAAATGTAAATAGTGAGATTGGGTGTGTGTCACGTGAGGTAGAATCTTTTGATGAGTAGGCTTCAGTCCTATCCACCACCGCCTACTGCACAATCTTGTCCTCCCAATCTCACCAATCCCTATCTTTCTTTTTCCTACTTGGATCTGATTCCTCTCTCTCTGTCTCTCTATTTTTACACGTATAGTTTGACAAAAGTCAATTTAAGGCATATAAAAATGCCTAATCTATAATATTTTAAACCTTCAATGCCCATTCTTTAATATTTCCTTTTATCGTGGTTAATTTTGTCTATGGTGGAATATCATCCTTTTATTTTACTACAAAATATTGTAACAAAAGCTGGAATATGATACGATAGTACGAACGGAAAAAAAGAGAAACGAGGACAATGTTTGGAAAAGCTAAGTTTCATGATGATGATGATGTTAATAATTGTGAGAAAAAGAATAGTTTGACTAATAGTTGAAATAGCTCAAAAGATCATCATAATCATGCATATCTTAGAATCTAAGAAGGGGAAGTGAGAAATGAGAAACATAAAATATCATTCTGTTGTAGACCTTGTGGATATGCCCAAGATAAAAGGCTTAAGTATATAAATTCAATTTGAATTACCTCACACGTGTAATGATAAATTTATTAGTTGAAATGATTTTTTTTTTCACTTTTAAAGTTTTTTGTTTATAATTAATTTATTTAACACATTTTTTATTCAATTTATTTCAAAAACTCCTAAAATATTGTTTATTAAAAGTTAAGTAAGTCCAAGTTGTAATTTATATACAAGATACCCCACCTGGTTAAAGTATCAAATAATCCCTCAAAGATTAAACAACAAAACCACTTAAAAAATGTAGGTAGTTCTTAGTTGTTTATTCTGGCAACCACTAAGAATGGGTATTTTCTAGTGGTTACTTTATTTATCCATTAATAAAAGTGTGTTTTTAAAAGCCACCCAAAACTCATTGATTTGGACGAAAATCTACCCTACATCTATATGTTCATTAACTCTCTCTTGTTATGTATATGTTCATACACTTTGTTTTAGCGACGTTAACGAAGCTCTGACACATTTGTCTTATGTATGCATTCTTTAATGAAAAATGAAATACTTTACTACAAAGCATTCAAATTATAGTATGGAATTAGTACTCAGATTCAAAAATAAAACTGAAAAAAGGTAAAAAAAAAAAAAGATATATGTGAAATAAAATATAAGAAAGCCTTAAAGTAATACATATACTTTTTTTTGAAGTTACAAGTTTAAATTAAAATAAATTGCAAGCAACAACTAACTTAAAACTAATTGAACTTAAAGGAGAGACGGTTGATATATTAAGTCCACGTTTTTAAGCTAATGACAAATAAAAAACTATACAAGAAAGATATAATTTACTCTAAACTTATAATCCAAACACTCTCTTTATTAAATTAGACCCATATTAAAATCCTAATATCATTTACTACAGTTCGTTATGTCTTTATTTTACTTGATTCCAATGCCCTCAATTTTGTATGTGAACGTGAAATAGTATTAATTGATATCTCGTGTGTTAAATGAATAAATATATCAACTTACATAGATAAATGGTGGATATTTTAATAATACAACTCTCACTATAAATAAAAATATGAAAAAAATAATCATTAATGTATTTGAAAATAAATATTTGTTTCTTATAGTTTGAAAAAAATATATCGGGAAGTCTTTCTTAGAAATAGAACTACAGGTACTAATAAATATTATCTTAAATTAAATAAGTAAATAAATAAATTTTAATTTTAAAAAAATTAAATTAAAATGCTTAATATAAAAAATTCTAAAAGTACCACTATTTAAAAAAATTCACAAAAATGCTATTGTTTAAGTATTTGTACTCATAAATTATATATAAAAATTGATAATTCGACATGTTCAAAATAAAGAATAATTTATAAAAATAATATTGTTTAAAAATACTTATAAAAATATTTTTATTTATGAAGTTACAGTCATAACTCAATCTCTATAATATTACTTTCAAGGACAATAATGAAGTTATTATAGGAATACTAATGTTACTTGCTTAATTGTTTTTTTAAAATATTAAATTTTATCTTAAACAAAGTAATATGTTCATATATTATACATATTAAATTATTTAAAAATTAAACCTTCCACATACGTAATTACATAACATACTTAACGTTTATTTGTATTGGTAGTTTATAAATATATATTAGGCGCTAAAATAAAAGAGTCTAATAAATTTATAATTAAATTTTTATTTATATAGTTTTTTTATAGACACGATTTATTTTATAACAAAATATTTTAATAATTGAATTAATAAAATTTAATATTTATAAAAATTGATTAAGTGAATTAATTTTATTTTTTATATTTCTTTGTTGTTATGAATAAAAAATCAATTAAAAAAAGTAGCTAAATTATCCCTACATCATCTAAAAATGGAAATTATTTTTTCAAAATTTCCAATTTAATTATATTTTCTAATTATTTAAAAATTTAATTTAATTTAGTTTAATAGTACTCATATAATATGTCAAATTGTTACTAATTCCATATAGAGATCGATTAACAATTTTTTATCCTTTATACAAGTATTTTTGAATTTAAATGAAATTTATTTAATCAATGATTGTTAAATTAAATGAAAACAAATCGAAGGGCTAATACGTTTAGAGTTGATATAAAAATATCGACATTAAGATATGTTATGCTAAATTTTAAAAAATGAATTTAAATTAAAGATAATTTACAGACGTTTTCATTCAAAAATGAATATGAATTTTTTTATTGTGACTCATTAGATGCAGTAACACAGTATTAAAATATATTTAATAAATATTATATATTAAATTTAATACAATATATTTATTTAAATACAATACTTTAAATGAAAATTGAAAAGTGGAAAATAAATTTAAAAATTATATTTTCTAATTATTTAAAAATTTAATTTAATTTAGTTTAATAGTACTCATATAATATGTCAAATTGTTACTAATTCCATATAGAGATCGATTAACAATTTTTTATCCTTTATACAAGTATTTTTGAATTTAAATGAAATTTATTTAATCAATGATTGTTAAATTAAATGAAAACAAATCGAAGGGCTAATACGTTTAGAGTTGATATAAAAATATCGACATTAAGATATGTTATGCTAAATTTTAAAAAATGAATTTAAATTAAAGATAATTTACAGACGTTTTCATTCAAAAATGAATATGAATTTTTTTATTGTGACTCATTAGATGCAGTAACACAGTATTAAAATATATTTAATAAATATTATATATTAAATTTAATACAATATATTTATTTAAATACAATACTTTAAATGAAAATTGAAAAGTGGAAAATAAATTTAAAAATTATATTTTAAAAATAAGTCTAAAAAAAATTAAATTATTAAATATAAAAATATTTGTACTTATGATTAAATACTAATTTAAAATTTTTAATATCATCAGTTAAGTTAAATATATAAAAATATAAAATTGAAATTAATTATTGTGAAATGAGTATTTTTTATTGATATATTAATTGATAATGTAAAATTTTGATATTATTATTTTCGGCTGTCGAACCCGTAAGCCCGGAAAGGATATTATAGTAAAAGCAGCCGCCAATCACTAGAATAATGATGAAACGTCCCGGAAACTAGGCAAGGGCAAGACCGTAAATGCATATCGCGCCACACTAGTCACGGACGGCCCTAAAAACGCAAACAAACCCTTCCCCACGCACCGCCAACCCTATAAATTCAGCTTCACCAGCGTAAATCAACCACACGCAACTCTTTTATTCCGTATCGCTCGTTCTTTCTCTCTCGATCTCGATTCTTCGTTTCAATATCTAGGGTTTTTGCCGTCATATACTTTGCTCTTTTGCTTCGTATCTGTAAGCGCTTTTCCTGTTCTTCTTTTAGTCTTCTTCATTCGTGTTGATGATGCCGCGTTCGATTTATTTTCGTTTTTCAACTTTGTAATTTGCGGCTTCTGATTTTATTATCGTTAAAATTTTCAGATTCTCTGCGTTTTGTTTTTCTTGGATTGAAGTTGTTGAGAGCTTAATTCGTTGCGGCATTGTAATCCGAATTTATCAAATCAGGTATCTGTTTTCGTTTTCGCCGCCTTGATTTTATGGCGTTCTTCGTTTTATCTGTATTTTTGTTGTAATGATTGTGTAATTTTTGGATTCGATGATCTTTTTTATTTGTTGGTTTACTTTATATGTTTTGATCTTTTGATTTGATTTGTGTGCTTATTTTATTATTGTTCATGGAGTATAAATATTATTCTGTTTCCGTTCTTTATATATCTGTTTTTTGTGTTTTGATCCTTTATATTTCTGTTTTTTGTGTTTTGATCGTTGTTTTTTTTTTTTTTATGATTATCATTTGCGTCTGTTATTTAAGATTTCCATTCGATGTGTCGGTTTGTGGATGTATTTGCTCTATAATTGTCATGTCTGTCGAACTGTATAACTGGGACCTGTTATACATTTATTGGTTGATCTTGTATGTTCAATCTTTTTCTTTTGCTATTCTGGTTTTACCTTTTTATTGTTTTCTTTAGTTTGTTATTTTTTTATAAAAAATTTTCATTGTTCATTGATTTCGATGTGTACGAATTATTGAAAATTTAGGCCCGTTGTTTTAGATTTTACTTAAAATTATTTTAAATGATTTTATTTTGAAATAAATTATTTTTAAAAGATTGATGTTTAAAGGATTGATTTAAAAGTGAGTTTAGAATAATTAATTTTATTTAAATAGTGAGGTAGCATAATTTTTTAAACGTAAATACAGGTACTTTCCATTTATTTTTCATGTCTTTCACCCACAATCGATTTTACCAACCTTGAGGCAAATTGTTTTTACTCTTTTGATGTTAGAGAATTTATACATCATTATTTGGAATCTATAAATCAAATTTTTGTCTTGCGTACGGGAACTGTGAATTAAAAGTGCATGATAAATCCCTAGATTTTGGTGGAGCTAGAGTTTTTTTTTTTTCAAGGAGGCTAAGAAAGAGAGTATAATATATGATAAAAAAATAAACCTTTATTTTTAAGGTTGTGCTAGCCTTGTTTCATAAAATAACATAATCAATCATCACATTGTGAAGAAGAAATCATTTTGTATGTTGTCGTGAACCTTACTTCTTATACCTTCATAGCTACAAAGTATAATTTACAATAGTCATGACTCATGGGAGCGAGAGTAATTCATCTTGGTTATATACACAAGAAGAATTAAAATTAATTGTGGCAATTTGTCAACCAACAATTACTTCGTAAATCTCAATTAGTTTTTTTTGTTTTCTTTATTTTTAATTATTATAATAAATAAATGATTTGTTGAATAATAATAAGAGGATTCTTATAAATATATATTTTGTATGAATTAGAAGATGTATAAAATTTTTCGGGGTGATCACGGCATATTTAGTCATCCAATGTCTCTACCCTTTCCTAGATTTAGTTATTTTGTTGCCAATGGTATTCTTGCGTTCTGTTTCTCTTATTTTCCTGGATTGATTTAGGAGTTCAGACAAATGCTAATATATGTCTGTTGATTGTGTTGTCATAGGTCTGAATGAACTAATGGAGTCCAAAGGTGGTAAGAAGAAGTCTAGTAGTAGTAGTAAATCATTGTTCTACGAAGCTCCCCTCGGCTACAGCATTGAAGACGTTCGTCCAAACGGTGGAATCAAGAAGTTCAGATCTGCTGCTTACTCCAACGTAAGTTCTCTTCTTTCAGATTTAAATAATTGTGTATACGAAGAGGTTAATGCTTTAAACTTATTTGCTGTATTGGAGTCTTTGATTTGTGCTAATACCTATTTTGTTTATGATTCTTGTGCAGTGCGCTCGCAAGCCATCCTGATATCCCACCGGATAGACATTTCCTTGCATGCAACCAGTGTTTTATTAGCAGTTTTTTTGTTTTCTTTTAGGTTTAGTTACTACTCTCCTTCAAACATCTTTCCAATCCCTCTCTTTGCGATTGTACTCTCTGCTGGTTCCTATTGCATTCATATCTCCTGAAACATGGCCATGCCTGTGTCTGCAATTGGTTTTGAAGGTTATGAAAAGAGGTTGGAAATATCCTTTTTCCAACCAGGAGTTTTTTCTGACCCCGAAGGAAGGGGTTTGAGAGCTCTTACAAAATCCCAGTTGGATGAGATTCTAACACCAGCTGCGTGCACCATTGTTTCTTCTCTTTCAAATGATGACGTTGACTCCTATGTTCTGTCTGAGTCTAGCCTCTTTGTTTATCCCTACAAGATCATCATTAAAACCTGTGGCACTACCAAGTTACTGCATGCGATCCCACCCATATTGAAGTTAGCTGGGGTCCTTTCCCTTAATGTTAGATCTGTACGGTACACGAGGGGAAGTTTCATTTTTCCTGGTGCTCAGCCATATCCCCATCGGAATTTTTCTGAGGAAGTAGCTATCCTTGATGGCTACTTTGGGAGGCTTGGGTCAGGCAGCATGGCTTATATTATGGGTGGCTCAGACAAAGCACAGAAATGGCATGTTTACTCTGCCTCGGCTGATTCATTGACTCCAACCGACAATGTTTACACTCTAGAGATGTGCATGACGGGCTTAGACAGAGAGAAATCATTGGTTTTCTTCAAGGAACAGTCTGATTCAGCAGCCCAGATGACTGTCAATTCTGGCATTAGAAAGATTCTTCCAGATTCTCAGATATGTGATTTTGATTTCGACCCATGTGGTTATTCAATGAATTCTGTTGAAGGTGCTGCTGTGTCTACCATTCATGTTACGCCAGAAGATGGTTTCAGCTATGCAAGCTTTGAAACTGTGGGGTACGACCTGAAAGTGGTGAATCTGAACGATTTGGTTGAGAGAGTATTGGCATGTTTCCAACCAACTGAGTTTTCTGTAGCTGTTCATGCGGACAGAGCAAGTAAGTCATTTGAGCAGAGTTCTTTGCTGGATGTTAAGGGATACTGTCGCGAAGAGAGGAGCCACGAGGGGCTTGGAATGGGTGGTACTGTTGTCTTCCAAAGATTCGTCAAAACTTGTGACTGTGGTTCGCCTAGATCAACTCTTAAGTGCTGGAAAGATGAAGAAGATGAAGAAGAGTAGTTCAGTGTCTTTATGGTCCTTCTTTTAATTAAAAATAAGTCTGGTCTTCCAGGCATTGATGTACTTGTTATCTCGTGGTTTTCATTTGTTGTCCGTTTTTAGACTTGTTTGTGTGGAAGGTACACCTATTGGTCTTTACTTTTGAACATCAAAGCATTTGGTTTGAATCCATTTCGATGGCTATTAAGTTTTTGTTTTAACTCATGTAATCAAATATTTGGGTGATGTTAATCCTACTGTGTTTGCTATTATTTCCTTCTTTCACCTTCACTCTTTAGACTTATTTTTGGCTTAAGACGTCTGGAACTTTAGTTCCCAAAGTTAAACATGAGTTACTTACGTTTTTACCTTAAATAAATTGCTCTAATTACAAAATTGAGATAATAAATGTTGATTGCATTAAATAAACTTAATTTGGATTTATATAAAATTAAAATACAACGACATTTGAATTGCGGACCAGTTGCCCATTTTTTGTGAATTAAGGTTGACTTGTTGGACGATTTGTGCTCACTACTATTTGACTCGTTTAGCAGATGTAGCAGTTTGTTGCAGAACACGTTTGGTATGTTCGAGTTGAGAGGTCGTTTAGTTTGTGTGAATGGTATTGTCTGCTGTTTTAAGGAATCTAAGGAAATTGAACGAAAATTTCTACCGGGTTGGTTGTAAATTAATAACACACAAACCTTATGCAATATGTTAATTTTGTAACTTATTCCATTAGATGCTCAAATCTTGTTTCAAAGTGCAGAGGAAAAGGCTTAGCTACGAAGTTTGGAACAACTTTTTTCCCCGCAAGTTTGGATTTTCTTATTGACAATCAAAATTTTCATGGCTATTTTAATAAAGCATAGAAACATTTACAAAGCTACCGTTTTGAGTGGTTAAAATTTAATGACTTGGACACCTACACTACACTAGTAACTTATAACGAGTTTGGTACTGTTTCATTTGTTTCTGCCTTGCGGTTGGTACTACAGATATGAAAACCGACATAATGACATGGAAACATGAAATAAAATCCTACTTTTAGTGCCGTGGTTATTTATTTATTTTGGTCACAAGGGAGTGGGGGATGGGGATATTACTAAAGCAAGGATCAAACCTTACTTTATGAAATGGGGAGGCTGAATTTGATTGCATGAAAGCAAAGATTGCTTATTAGATCCTAGCATGAGCTTCTCTTTTGTAACTTACGATTTGCAACTCGAAAATTGTATTAAAATCACCAAGCATAATACTTACTTGAGTAGATCAATCCTTACTTTATGTAAAGGCACGTCTTTGATCTATCAATAATTCTTAATACTCATTTGAGTTGGTCACTTAGGTGAGTTTCATAAACTTTAATACCATTATTGAAAGGAAAAAAAAAACTAATTCTCATAGATAATTTTCTTTAAATAAAAAATAAGATAATATAATCATAATATAAGAACTATCGTCTACTTTAAAATTGAAAAAAAAAAAATCATGGGTTTATCTAACAACAACTAAAGAATATTATTATGTACAATTTTTTATAATACATGCATAGACTTTTGTTTAACCACCCTACAATTTTAATACACACACTCTTCAAACCATATATCTATAAAGTTCCTAATTTTCTAAGACAAGGAGTATAAAATAAAGAAAAAAAGTCAAATAAAACTTAAATAAGTTATGACTAGTGCAAGTTAAAATAACAGATATAAGTCAATAAATAACTTTTATTATCTTTTCCTTTATAAACTTGGACCGTGAGATAATTATTTCAAGATGTTTTATTTTAATCAATTTTAACAACTTTCATCTCCATTAAGATAGATGCATCTTCTGATTTTATTATTTACATCGATAATTGTAATTAAAAAAAAAAGGTCATACTTTACTATAAAAGTATAGCAAGTAGTGTTAACTAATATTCTTTTCAACTTGTACTACTATAGAAACACATTTCTAGTTCACAATTCCCAATACTTATATGAGTTGGTCACCTCAGTGAACCATAAGTTTTGACAGTGATACCAAAACTAAAGGATATAAAGGATTAAAACACTAGGAATATCTCCATTAATAAAATACAAACAAATCATACAAATAGACTTAAAATAGTATATCAAATTCAAAATTTAAAGTTATTAAGTTATGAATTCTTGTCACCTATATATTTCAAAACTTTTTTACTTGTATATATCATCTTGACACATAACGTAATTAGATACTAATTTAACTACCGTTAATTAATTACCACTTCCTAGTATTTCATTTGTGTATCAGATTTTGGAGATTTCCTATGTAAACACTGAGCACCAGTTTGGTAAAATAATTTTACTTTAATCCCATCTAAATGATTTGATTGTTATTTTTCATCCGCGCATCAATCTAGCAATTGAAATTAGATACAGCTCCAGTTACAGTGTTTTCACAAAGTCCATCCAATTGATCAAAATGTTCGTTTCATGTCAATAATTAAAACATCTTTGTCATGCATTATCGCTTTTCCCAGCATTTCGAACTGGAAAGGTGGGAGGGCAAGGTCATAGGTCTCGTTGATTATAATTAATGCTTGCATGGTTCAAAACTGTAGCCACTGTTATTTTTTACCCATTAAGAAAATTGCGTAGCAAATCCAATGAAATCAATTTGTAGCCACTGTTATTGATCAAAATTTTTGTCTCATTTCAATAATTAAATCATCTTTATCATGCATTATCGCTTTTGTAAGCACATCGAACTGGAAAGATGGAAGGGGAAAATCATGGGTCTCGTTGATTAGAATGCTTCCACATTCTCAGAACAGTAGCAATTATATTTTATAAATTTATTGGACTATTTAGGAAATGGCAATGCAAATGCTACGTAAACGTAATTTCTCTTTTCAAATCATAGTAAAAGTCATAATTAGCTTTGGTGGCAAAGTTTCTCTACTTTAAAGGCCAGCTTTTAAGAACAAAAAACTGTATTTTCATTTTTTATTGTTATAATTAAATAACTGAAAATTCATTTTATTTCATTTTATAAAAATAAAAAATGTTTTTGTTATTTCTTACGTAAAACTTTTAAAAACAAGAAATAAAATAAAATAAAATATTTATAAATAGTATAATTATTTATAAAAAATCATAATAATAAAGCACGTAAATCAATTGGTGTAAAGTTATTTTAATTCAACTTTTAGTCTCAAATTCGAGTACCAAAAATGCTAAATATGTTACATATTTAGAAAAAAAAGCTTTTATAATCTATAATAATTCCAATTAAGATCAATCCAAAGTTACTTTAATCTTAAGTTTCGTTTGTTTAAGAACAATCAACCCTCACAAGCAATCTTGTTAATTGCGGTTCTTGGTAACCCAAAATCTCCTATTTTCAAGCTTTTACAGGTTCAATTTTCATTCTATTTGTGGTATGCACATAATTGAAGACGGGGAAGTTCTATTTCATTTTTTTAGGTTTAAAAACATTTCATCTTGCTGGGGACAAAAATGTTACCTGGTGATCAACTGATCATGTACCACACTTGTGGCAATGAGACCATGTCAGTCCTAAAATGTTATAGACATTAAATTCGTTCATTTTATTATCATTAATATATGTTTTTTTTATAATTTTTAAAAGAGTTTTTTCTTTTCAAAAACAAAAAATACATGTACTTTTTTTTTAAAAAAAAAAAAACTCTTTTAAAAATTGCAAACAAACATATTCAAAGTCTTTTTTTTGTTTTTACTAAAATGAAAAATTTTCCCTCCCACTAAATGTGCAAACTTGAACCCGGTCTAACAGCAGCTAAGAGATTTTGGGAAAGTGTAAATATTTGTATTATTATAACATGTAAAACATATTAGAAGAAAATCATTAATAATGGGTAAAAGTTATTTAAATATTGGTCTTATTTAATCTTGTTGCACCGCCCATCAGAAAGTGGCTGTAGTTTAGTGGTAAGAATTCCACGTTGTGGCCGTGGAGACCTGGGCTCGAATCCCAGCAGCCACAGCTGATAAATTTTTTCCCTCCCAAAATAATATCCTTTCCCTTTTCAGCTTACATGATTGATAAAAGGGTCTGTGTTGTAATGTCCATTCCAATTATCTCTCTCTCTCTCAGAATTTAATTAAAAGTTAATGAATTAGTTTGAGTTTGACTTCCCTCTTTAATTTAAGACTTGAGTTTGGTCTATTTATATGCATTATTATTTTATTTTTGTTACATTAACATTTATGTTTGTTAATGTAAAAAATAAGTGGCTGTATATCATCAACATTTAATTTGCTAATGTACAATCTCTTATTTTTTAAGAAGGAACATATTAGATATTATCATTTTCTTAAAATCTATACACAAAAATATAACTTGCTAAAATGCTTCTAAAATATATAAATATATACTTTTTAATTTATTATTATTATTATAGATAAATTTGTTAGATTTAAAAACTTTTTAAATAAACCAAACCTTAATTTATTTTAAATAAATAAATAAAACTTTTTGGCCTAACCTAAGTCAATAGATTAAGTAAAAAATTTCCAACTAATCATATATTATATTTGTACCCAGTGATTTAAGTTTCAGACTAGTTATTAAAATGGTAAAGATATTAATGGAAGGTTTATTGGTTCAATAATTAAATCAGTGTGTATCTATATCTATATCTGTATATGTCAATACACAAACGTTGATGTAGGGTGTTATTCGATGGTATAGACTTTTAAATATAATTTAGAACAAGTTAATTAATTATTACCTAGATTTTTAGACGTGCCAAATAAATAGATCCAGTACGAATTTGAAAATAGTATGCAGCATGGACTAAAAGTCAACTCTGCAAAGTCATTTCTTAAAAGCTGAAGCTACGAAACAGCTGTACTAATCATGTAATTGTCGTTGATTTATGAATAAAAAGCATAAGCATCGCAGAAAGTTGAATGTTAACGAATATTTACTTTTCTAATTAGTGGCATTTGTAAATTAAGTAAATATAAATTTAGGTGATCACATGATACAAGAGTTACAGAATAATCACATTTGATCTAGCTGGATTCAATCCCTCATAGATAACCCAAATTCAATCCCCTCCACTACCCTACATTCAGCTGCAATATCTAGCTGTTCTTTATCCATGGTAAAAAAAGTGTTGTCAAATTGTTTCTTTATTTATAAATAGATCAAACTATTCGTTTAACACAAATCATTAATTGAATATCTAATCATGGTTAGGATCTCAATTAGTACAAGTAGATTCTAAAG